GTATCTTACTGTCACACATTGTCCTCTATTGTCCTTTCCATCCTGTAATGCTTTCTGCTGATTTCTGCTGTCCTTTACTAACCAGTCTTGTCCCCTGCTGACCCAGTCTCCTTCCCGTCCTCCTTGCTGACCCGGTCTCTGTCCCATCCCCTCTGTTGACCCGGCCTCCGTCCTGCCCCCCCTCTGACCCGACCTCTGTCCCATCCCCCTGCTGACCTGGTTTTGGTTCTGTCCTCCCTCTGACCTGGTCTCTGTCCCCTCCCCCTTGCTGACCCGACCTCCGTCCCGTCCCCCCTCTGACCCGGTCTCTGTCCCGTCCCCCCACTGACCCGATGTCTGTCCTGCCTCAGTCCCAGAGTTCACGGAGCAGCCCAGTCAGCTGAGGGGTTACTCCATTCACACTCGACTCTCCAAAGGTCCTCGAGGTTTTGGCTTCAACATTGTTGGGGGAAGTCGCCCCCGAGAGTTTCTACAGGTGTATAGTGTCACACCTGGAGGACCGCCTGCCCTCAATACAGGTACTACTACTGCCTCTACTACATCTGTTAAATAGCCTCACAGAGTTTCTACTGGTGTACAATGTGATACCGTCTCTCCTGCTTTCGGTAAAAGTACTGTATTAATACTGCGAACAGTGAGTCCACTATGTAACACAGCTGTCTATATTACACATACTACTACAGTACCATGAGTTTAACACAGGTACTACAGGTGCTTATGGTGCAGGGCTCCTGGGATACTAGGATTCTACTACAGACATTACTCTCACTGTCGCCGCGGTGTGTGACACCGATGACGGCTGCCGTATGATAATGCTTTTGTATATTACATCGACAATACACACTGGAATGACCTGCATCTGTACAAAAATGTGTCTTAAAATATGGTCAGAGTTTTGTCTGTGTTACGTTTATGAGCCAACATTGGTAAATGGTCTTGTACAGCACACTCAAAGCTTTCACATTATTCGGCCATTCACCCATTCGCACTCCCAAGCACTCACGCATTCACACACCGGTGACAGTGTCTTGCTCAAGGACACCTCGACATGTTGACTGGACAAGCCAGGAATCGAACCGCTAATCCTCCGGTTAGGAAACGACCCGCTCTACCTCCTGAGCCACAGCCACCCCCAACATTCTGCTGCCAGTAAAGCCACACAAATTGTTCGTGGCTGTAACACCAAACGCAGCCACCACGGTCTTGTTTGTAACCAATTTTGACTTGAGGTGCAGCAGTTTCACTCCACGCTCATTCTCAGATCATACTCAACACATGCCACCTGCTCAGGTCAGCTTGTGATGTCGAAACCTGTCGACTGCCTATGTCCTGTCTGTGCTCCTGCAGCCGACATCCTGGTCTACATCAACAACACCTGTGTGTTGGGTCGCTCTCACAAAGAGGTGGTGGAGATGCTGAAGTCTGTGCCAATGGGTCAGAGCGTGGATGTGGTGCTGAGGAGGGGATACCCGATGCTCTATAACCCCGACGGCTGTCCCAAGCAGAGTCTGGAGACGGTACACCACAACTTTAATGTGACTAGAAGTCACTCTCAGCTGTTTCACTATTACCTAAATTACTTGTTTCTATTTTTTGGCATGAACTAAATGATGTGACCTTGTATAAATCACTAGCCTTTTATCTACAGCCACAAACCCCCAGCAAGCCCTCCAACCCCCCCAGCCTGAACCAGCACCTGACCTACAGCCGCACAGCGGACACCAACGGCATCACGCCAGGTCAGAGCGACAACTCACGTTTCAGCCAGAGCCTCCACATCATCCAGCCGACAGATGAAAAAGGCTCAGATCAGAACAGAGGCAAACATAATGAGCAGTCGTTGCACTTCAAAAGCAGAAAATCAAGTTACAGAGCAATTTGTATGGAAAATGTCCAGAGTGAAATATTTTTAGAAACATGTTTAGTTAGTGACACACTGGAGAGGACGTCTCTGTTCCTGATGTTACTTCTAAGACAGAAACTCTCGGCTCTCCCTCTGTAATCAATGTATCTATCCATTGACTGATTATCTCTCTGTCCATGTCTAACATCACTCATTTATTAATCAGGTTACTGCCTAATAATTTTTCCTCCTCTACTCTTGAATCAAGAACTGGGCCAAACCCCACCCTCGTACACTGCTCAACCAATGACAAACGGGCTGGCAGGTCCAACCACCCCCACTTCCTCTGACCCCCTGCTGGGTCCACCACCTCCTTCAGACAAGACAACAGCCAATCACAGTGAATCTGATGGCGGCCTGTCCAATACAGGAACTCGAAGGTCAGCATTAGCAATGTTAGCTATGTTAGCAGTGCTAGCAGGTAACCGTGGCAGCAGAATAATTCATAGCTGCCATCCTACAGACAGCAGTGAAGGTCACATTATGATCTGTCACAGTACCAGTATGACTTGTATAACCGCTACTGACTGATGACATCGCCTTCTGTTTGGCTGTGTTCCATGTGACACTATGGCCACATTGGCAAGTTGTTGGTTGGAGAGGGGGTACTCTCTTTTGGTTTATATAAAGTGTATAAAACTCTGTCTCCTCTCTGCTCCACCTTATCGCAGGTCTTCTCTGATTCGCTACAGCAGCAGCAGCACTCTCCCCGCACTCTCCTCCTCCTCCCTTCTTCACCGCCAGAGCTCCAAGTCTTCAGAGAGCAATCTCTCTACATCCACCCTCCCCATCACCTCTTTGTCCTCCCATACTCTGCCTAAACTGCCCCTCTCTCAGCCGGAGATGGGGCTCCTCCCAAACTCCACCAGCCTCACTGCCGCCAGCAACACCCCCTCTTCCTCCTCTACACCTCCAGGAGCCCCTGTGCAACGCCCACCGATGCCCCAAACCACCCTCGCCCTAACCCCACCCAGAGACACCCCCCCTTGTGGGTTTAATGGGTGTCCAGCCAGTCACCAAGCACCCTCCCCAGCCTCCAGAGGAAACCCAGGGCTGATGCTCCCTCTCGGATCAGTGTCACCTGGGTCAACTCCTGGTGGAGAGTTGGTGCCAGTGGCCCTCGGGCGCAATGAAGGTGGGGGTCTGGGGTTCAGTGTGACAGCGGGGGGCCAAGGGGGTCAGCTGGTAGTGGTGAGGCGGGTCTGGGATCGAAGGCAGTGCCCCTCTCTGCAGCCGGGTGATGCTATAGTGAAGATCAACGGAGCAGACGTACAGAGCCTGAGCTTCTCCCAGGTAAAAGGTTTTTATTTACCTGACATCCAAGTAGTGTCACGACGGTCTCATGCAGACATCATGAAAACCTTTGGTCTTCTGCATTAACTGGCCTTCATCTAAGTACAGACAACCACAAGGAGCTTAAGCTAAGACCTCACAAACACTATTTCATGTCTTTCATCAACACAGTGGCTAAGCATGCACAGTGCTGGTGGTAAAAGGAACTGAAACTTTAGCTTATTCTTGTGAACTAAGTGGTGATGGAAGCTTGGCAATGTACTAGTGAGCACAACCGGTCGAGGCAGAAGACCACCAAGAGCCAGGGTCTGTCTCAGGTTTCTTCTGTTAAAGGGAGTTTTTCTTTGTCAAGTTCCCTGAGATGATGGTGACTGTGAAGTGACATTATGCAAGTAAAACTGAGGTGAACTGAACTGAGTGCTTAGTTACTAACTTACTTTGTCAGCTACTGTGGCTGGTGATGTAACTGCTAATATGCTAGCTAGGCAGTAACTAGCAGGCCAAACTGGCTGGCATGCTCCCAGTTTGCTACCTACCAACTGGAACAGATGTAAGGCATGGCAGCAGGAGAATCCAGGCCGACCTGAACCCTCCTGATGTGCAGGAGACTCCCAGATTGCTGAGAGCATCACCCTCACATCAGGATGGAGAATCTTCTTAAACTAGGCTTAGGACACGGGGCAGTGTATGGGCCTCACTGAAAACCATTAAAGTGTGTTTCCTTCCTCAGGTCCAGAGAGTCTTGCAGGAGCACACCAAACAGGGAGAGGTGGTGCTACTGGTCTACAGAGCAGGTACTACTGGGCCCCAGTACAGTCATCAGGAGGATTACAGGTCCTTCTTGTCGTGCCTGCAGATGTGCAACTGTTTCTCTCAAAAATAACTCACAAAAAATCGTACAACTTCCTCCCCCAGGTCCTGTCTCCTCTCCAGTCATCAACCCCAACCTCTACAAGCCCCTCACCCCCCCTCACGGCCTGCCCAATGCCACTTGCTCCCACCCCCCCACTTCTACTGACTTGCCTTCCCCCTCCACTGGTGCCTTGGTTGGGAGTGCACCCCCACTCAGCCAGGCCGGCTTGGCCCTTGAAAGTTCGCAGGAAGAGCACCTACTGCCCCCATTGACCCACCAAGGTAAATGCACCCCTGGCTACTGCTGTGTGCCCAGGTGATGTTCACAGTGAGCACGTCCTCCTTGTCCTTCTGCTCCCATCAGCTTGTCTCCACCTCGTCGTCCTCCTTCTACCAGCCTGACTCCTCTTTGTTTTCAAGGGCCCCCTCCAGCCCAGACACCTAACGGGCCCCCAGCCTCGGCTCTCATCCAGAGCACCAGCTTCCTGGACTCAGTTCCTGTGACACTGACCTTAGAGCCACGTGATTTGCTGGGATTGGAGGAGAGTGTCGGTGGGCCTCTTCTAGTCAGAGGGGGAGGTATGGGAGGAGCACCGGGGGCAGTCACCAAGGACGCCAGAGGTGGAGGAAAGACCATGGAGGTGGAGCTGAGGAGGCGACCTGGCGAAGGCTTCGGATTCGTGATCGCCTCTCAGGAAGTGACCAGTGGGGGTGAGTCCCAATGAATCCCTCACAGGTTACTTAGCTGTTATTAGTTTCCTACTTCAGGAAGGCACGCGTCATTCTGCATGTGGTTGGTGTTAATAGTCAAGATCTGGGATCTTTTGTTTTTATTATCTTCCAGTGAGTTTATGTGCAGTGTGTATCTGATAGTTTCCAGCTGTGTGTGTGTGTGTGTGTGTCACAGAGGTGCTGGTTCACCTGTGTGGTCTCTGTGGATGCTGCAGGTTGTTCTGCTGTTCAGCTGGACTGTGGTTCTGGTGTTTAGCCCCACTGATATAACGGAAACACACACCTATGAGCAGAAAGAAAAGTGTTCAGCACCACCTTTACTCATTAGCCAGTAATGAAGCAAAATCGTTATCAGCAGTGACAGTGACATCAGCGAGAGCTGGAGGAACAACAGCACCAGCACAGGCACAGCAGCTGTGCTGGACGTGAACAATAACTGGATTTGGGGTAAAATGACCAACAAAGACTAAAAGCAGCTGCTTCAACCACAGCAAGTCTGAGGATCCACCTGCTGCTGCAAAGCAGCGTGGGATGCGGTGGCTGCGCTTTGAAAAAGTGACAGCCCTAGCTCCACTAGTAGCTCTACCACTGCAAAGACTGTGCACGCTGCGACTCACTGGGGGCTGAACACGTCCACACATCAGGACACACTGCTCCTACTGTTATCCAGCAACCTAAACGCCACAGTGAACGTGTTGCATCAAATATTAATGAGAAGTGCTTAAAGATTCTAACAGTGCCCAAATGCTCCGGTGCACCCAGAGAAGCTGAAGTGACGAGCACCATGGACCATAATGAGCAGAGATGTACCATCACCTGGCGAACAGCGTCTGATCGTCCTCTCCCAGCAGCCTCGGTGGTGCACCCAGCCAACCACCATACAGCGGGCACTGTCGTCACGGTAACAATAATAAACCTGTGCTTATGGCTATGAAACAGGATGGTGTGTGCAACATGCACAAAACAAGACGTGACAGGAAAACTAGCGAGACAGACTTAGCACCACCTGCTGTGTTGCTCAAAACACCTGCTTCTCTGAATTTCTGCCACTGTCTCATAAAACCTAAAGCATTCTGCGTTTACTTTTCAAATATCAAGGGACGCATTGTGTGCCGTTGCACTTTAAGCCCAGTGTAGAGTCGGCTCATCCACGCCTCCTGATCTGGCCTCAGCGTGGACTTTGTCACTTTGTCAGGACTCGACTTCTTCCTTTGAACCTGTAACAACTGCTACACCACTGGAGGAGGCCTGATAAGAAAATCTAAGTCTGGCTGGTTACAGGCTGCTGTACAGACAACCCACATGCTTGTGTTCATGGATCAGGGTGTAGTGTGGTCGTAACGAACACCGCAGCCTGCGGGGACGCCGGCAGCAACCTGTCACCATAAAATGCAGCTCCACCGACTTCGTGGCCGATGGACGCAGCACCTGAGCTTCTGTGTGCCTCAGCTGCTGCAGTCGTCTCTCCACAAGTAGAACAATACTCTCTACTGTTGAACATCCCCCCTCCCATCCCCGTCTGTTTCAGTCCCCTCCCACCACTGTCTGCTCTGTCTGCCCTCGGCTGCCTCTCTCTCTGCAGCTCGTAGTCAGTCTCCGCTATCAGAGGCACAACCGGAACACAGGAGGACAGACAGGTTTAAAGACAGGAGGACAGACAGGAGGTGCAGGTGTATCTGTGTAGCTGTTTGTGTTCTGGACTCTTCATCATGTTGGAGCGACTGCAGTCGGCTCTGAGAACGGTCAAGGACTCCAAACGTAAGTGAAAGTGCAGACACCGTTCACTGGCTGAACACTGCTCTGCTCCATGTCCTGCTACTTCATACTGTGACTTCACTGCATGTCGGAGACAAATCTAGTGCTTTTTGCTGCACAACATGTATCTGATAACTGTGGTTCCTTTGCCAGATCAGATGAATCAAATGAAATACAGTCAAAAACAGAAAACAAGTCCAAGTATGAAGTAGCAGAACATGGAAATACAGATACCTCAAACTTGTACTTAGGTACAGTAGGTGAGTAAATGTGTTCAGATACTTTCCACCACTACTTAATGATCTTATTTTTCAATGTAAATGTCAGAAATGTGTGAGTGGAAATAAAGAAACCACCTGGGACTGTTTCCTTTTCTAAAGCTTCAGTGTTTTCGGTGACAGACTAGAGAGCCAGAAACTAAGCACAGTCACATGACCCTGTTTAGCCGAAGCCTCTCTAATTCTCTTCCTTTCATATCTCCTCGTTTACTCATCTGCTTCCTCTTCTCCTAATTGTCTCCTCTCCTCCCTGTCTTCTCCCTGCTGCCTTCCAGTTATTGGGAGTTTTCCTGATCTGATCTGAGGGACAGTGTGATGTGTTGTACAGATTGTAAATCCCCGTGAGGCAGATATACGATTTCTGAGCTGGGGCTGTGTAAATAACATTAGACCTCCTCCTCGTCTTTATCATCTCTCAGGAATGTCTGGAATAGTTTCACATCACTGAACCTCTGCAGTTATGACTCCGTGTGTGTACTTGTGTTGTTCATGTTGTGGGGACAGCACTCTGCTTGCACACCTTGTGGGCACTCGTCTTTCATGTGGGGACATAAATCGAGTCTCCGCAGCATAGACCTTTCAGTTTTACAGGTGAAGCCTTGGCCTCAGGTGAGAGCAGTGGTTAAGGTTAGTATACCTGTGCTATCGAGTGCAGTCCAGTACAACAATTCTGGTATCAGTCCCACATTTACGAAGATGACCACAGAGAAAAAACACCACAGACCTGCAGAGTCCCTCTTATGAGAAATATTGTGAACTTTCTTTGTCTGTATTTTAAAATCTAGTCTCTGACTTTGACACGGATGTGAGCTGCTGGACAGCCTGGGAGTTCAGAACAGATTGTAAGAGCTCAAAGTGTCCTTACAGCTACAGGGATGACCCTCATGCTTCCACTGACAGAGTCTGTGAGGGAAGCAGTCGCAGGCTAATGTTCAGGAGTTTTCCTTCTCTGGTAGAAACTGTTTTATTGGCTCAGTAGTTTTGCTGCTTTGACCTAAACTAATATTGACACAAGATAAATCTGCTGCAGTGCCACCGGCCCCATGTTACTGCTTGTCTACACTATGGTCATCAGCTCGACACTTCACATTTAGTCTGGTACTGATTCTGCCTTTAGCTCTTCCACCTGCTGGGGCCTCCATGTCTCTGTCTTGACAAACCCCTTCTGTCTCTTCAAACTTCCAGCTGAATTTTGGTACTAGACAAATTAATTCAACATCAACCATCCAAAGTTCAAATTCATTTGCAAGATATTCTGTTGCTTCCTACCAACAATGGGTTTTGTAGGAAAAGTAGTTTTGGGAATAAAACATGAAACTTCTAATGTATTCAAATCAAAGCAAAATTTATGTAGCACTTTAAAAACAACGTCTGGTCGACCAAAATACTTTACAAGGGCGAGGTAAGAACTAAAATAAATAATATCAATACAGGAATAAAACAACATAGGAACATAAACACACGAACTACACAGAATCAACAGTTAAAAGAAGGAAGCATCAGACATTAGATGTTAAAAGCCAAAGTGACCAGTGATTTAAAAGTTTAGTATTATAAATGTCCCCCAATGCTGTGAGATGTCCTCACAGTGTAGAAATGTCCTCACTCCACAGTTATAAAACTGGTCCTCACAAAGAGAGCCATACAAGTACACAGTGACTCACAACACTGTGCTGAATTGCATATCTCTGTTTTATTTTTGTGTTCTTACAGGATTACGCGCACACACACACACACACACACACACACACACACACACACACACACACACACACACACACACACACTCCAGGTGAGAGGTTGTGTTACCTGAACAACATGTAAGCCGTGTGGGTGTGTGTGTGTTGTGTAATGTTATGGCCTCAGTGGCACAGCCTTGTAAAATTCACCCAGAGCTGCTGACTGATGGAGCTGCTTCTGCCCAGATGTGCTGTGTATTTCCAGCTGTGGTTTCATGTAAAAGCTGTCAACCCAGAACAACATGGACAGATTCATACGCTCCTGTTTAAACTAATGTTGCATCAGAGGCAATTAAAATCAACTGGACACCTCTGTTATTCCTGAGCAATGACACGAGACTCTGCTCTGTTGCTTAAAGATGTGACTGTGTCACGTAGCTGAGATTACATTACATGTTAACAGGGGTTTGCAGAAACCTGAGCTCCCAAACATTTTGTGCAGTGTGAGAAGCTAGTGGAACAGTCTACATAGATCAGAGACCAGTGACTCCGTCCTCCTTCAGACTCTGTGCACAGTGACGTCATCTTCAGCCTGTGGAGCTGTTTGTGGAACCAGACGGGCCACCACCACATTTCCTGAGGAAGAAACCTGCCTCCCAGTGCAGCGGTGTGACTCACTGGTTGGACAACAGTGGAGGTCTACGGCAGCTGCATCCTTTGATACTGCAGCAGTTGTGTGTTGACAATGTGACTGTACTGTACATGTGTTGTCATTAGTTGTGTAGTTTTTGGCACAGTGAATATGAAATGTCAAGCTTTATAATAATCACAGGTTTAATCCATAATTCAGTACACACAGTCGGTGTGGCTGTTCCTCAGCTGCTGGTCTGAGATCAGTGACCTGCCCGCTGGTGGAGAAGCTCCTCCCGGCAGCTGGATGTCGGGCTACACATTTCTAAGTGATCTCTCATCCAGAGGTGGAAGTCGCTCAGTACATTTACTCAAGTAGTGTGCCTAAGTATAATTTATCAGGTGTTTGTACTTCTACACATACTGAGTATGTGGGAATGAATAATAGACAGACTCAAAATTAAAAATGCAAAGTGATATGTATAATTGTGTTCCAGAGACAAAGATTCTAGTAGATGATGATGATGAAGGTGGTGGTATAGCAGGGAAGAGGCTGAGGCCGTTTCGGCTGATTTTTCCTCGGCAGGTTAATATTTTATTGGTTTTCCGTCTGCAGCAGATCTGGAGCCAGAGACGTGTCTTATCTATGATTCACAGAGTCGGGTGCAGAGACATGAGAACATCATAAACAGATCAGTGAACAGGAATAAAATGTAATCTCAGCTACGTGACACAGTCACATCTTTAAGCAACAGAGCAGAGTCTTGTGTCATTGCTCAGGTCTGGTCCAATGTGGCTTGTGTAGTTGTATCATGTGTCTCTGTCATGTTTAACATGTTTAAAGAAGGAGGACAGAATCATGAGTATAACAGATGGTTTGAGCGAGCAGCAAGGACCCCTCCCTTGCTCTTAAATCTCATTCTGCTCTTACAAATCTGTTCCTGCTGGTTCTCAAAGTCTGATTTGCTCACAACTTGTTTTGTGCACTTTCAAAACTTTTTGACTTTCACACAAAGCCGAGTGGAGAAATCTGAGGGTGCAGAATCAGAAATGAGAGCACGCACAGCCTGGATTACGCTCTTGAATCTGTATTTGCATTTACAAACCTGTGTCTGCGCGGTCTCAGATGCTGAGTTGCATAGTGCGGTTAGAGGGCCCTCAGACATTGGCGGTGACCTGCTTCCATAGAGAAGCTGCTGATCAGGCCAGACTGGAAGGGACATATCGTAACCCAGCTGTGTGATTTGGCCGTCACACGCATGACCTGGTTGTTATTCCTGAGCACACGTGGCTCGCCTTTCAGTTATATCTGTGCACAAATGTAACATCAGGAACAGTCAGAACATCAGGAAATGGCCTGATCAGAGCTTTAGATTCTGATGAGCCGCCTGCACCTTATGGCTCCACATGGTTTGTGTTGATGCGTTAATCGAAGCAGACACTTTTTGCACCAGGTGTTGTAATGCAGATTTATATGGTGGCTCCAGGTCAAACAGTCACTGTGAATAATTCCATGTTTCAAAGCTGACGTTTTGCTATTTTTAGACGAAGTTTTTAAGTGTCAGTGTTTCCACATGCAGCTGTCAGCCTGGATAACATCACACTCCTCCTCCTCGTGCTGCTTCACCAACAGTAAAATTCATTTCTCTCTCTGCAGCTTCATGTTTCCTCCTCCACAACTCTGAATGTGCTGAACTCAGCACTTTGCTTATCAGCTCACATGCTAGCATCCACCCTCCCAGCACTGTGCTGTTAAGCACACACACACTTTGTGATATCGTAAAGGTGCTTCAAAGTGGCTTTCAAAGCACCAAGCTGGTGTTTGTTCCTGCTCCAGTCCATTCTCTCTGAATCCTGTTTACGCTGCAGTCCTGCTGAGTCCAACCCATTGTCACATACTGTGTCTCTGAGCTGTACAAATGGACAACATCAAAAATTCCTGACAAGTTTATAGACTGAGCAGCCTTATTTCAGTTCATTGCTACAAAACCCAGGCTGTAGAAATTTGATGCTTCCAGCAGAGAAACAATTCATGCAAATGCATCTTTATTATTCTTTATATATTTATGTCTAATTGAAAGAGCAGAGGACCCAGTATAGAGTCTTGTGGTACACCTGGCACTGAGGTTGAACCCGCTGTCTTTGTTTACAGTTTGATCTAAACCTGCAGTTTAGATTCATGTCCATCACTTCCTGTCGATCATGTTCATTCTTTTGAGAATGAAAATGAGAAATGAATTTCGTTCTAGACAGAACTTGGTTCTCGTTCATTACTATGAAAATGAACCTGCAATGGATAATACTGAGGTTTAGCTGCAGTCGTGCCTCTCTGTGGTAGCTTTGTGTCTCTTTTGGTTTTAACTGCCACTGGACACGATCATGTTTCACAGCTGATTTCATGACATCAAACGCTGCACAGGTTTGGATGCTGTTCGTCCGTCGTTACGTCACCCCTCTGATCTGTTAGAGCAGAAACCGTTGTTTTGTTGTTTGTATTGGGTTTCTCTACTCTCTTGTTTCCAGAGTCTTTGCACTGCTCCTATCTCTAAGCCAGAATGTGCCTCCCTCCTCCCAGTGAGGTTTCCACACGGCTCTTGAGCAGGTGTGTGTGGTGAACTTGGCTGTTGTAAGAAGAAACTCCCACAAATGTTGGTTCTTTCTCCGGTCAGCTCAAACAAACGTGTTTACCAAGCTTAATCAGGCTCTGCTTGCAAAGTGTCGTGTCAGTGTTTAGACAGGTTCATCTGAATTAACAGCAGGTTTATTTGTATAAAGAAAATCGGGGTTATAGGGGCCAGTGATGGTTCGTGCTGTTCTGCACCATTACAGAGTGAAGAGACCAGCACCAAGACCCTGGCCAGTCTTTTATTTCTCATATTTAAGTTCATTTCATAACACTTTCTATGTTGACTTTAGGAAGATTTTGAATAATGGATCATTCTTACTTTGCTGTTTTACTACTTTCACTGCAGTAAAAGAAGTGAACACTTGTTCCCCTGTGTACTGGAGCAACAACCTGAGCTGTACCTCTTTTAATATTTGAAGTGTTCCAGTTAAACTATGGTGACAAGTTGTTTGTTAAGGTTGGGTGGTTTTGTTTAGATCCCACTTTCAGCCTGATCGCTGTCAAGCTCTTGTTTGTTAAACTCTGTAAACTTTTTTTTTCCTCATCTTGACCTTTGGTTGTTGCTTGTCAAAGTGATTTAATGCTCCAGAGGAAACCCAGAGATGCTGCAGCAGCTGGTGGTCGTATTGATCAGCAGCCACACTACAATAACTTACATCCTGTTGCGTGCAGCATACCTGCCCCCTCACCTCAGAATTATGGACAGACTTCTGGCAGAACCTGACCCGATGGAACAAACAGTAACTCCAACTATAGCAGCTCGCCCAGATCTAGTTCTGCCACCCGGTAAAAGAGGGAGGAGCCTGGCAGGGAGGGCAAACTGACCAGTCTGGCAGTACTGTTGGACACCAGTCCAGACTTCTGCCTTATCACAGCTCTGATCTTATTTTTAATGTTGTCCCCATCGTTTCTCTCAGTAACAAGAGCACTCAGAGAGCGCACGTACCTCCGCCAAGGCACAACATTGGTTCACACAAATGGGTCCCTTATGAGAAATGTCCTACAATCCTTGATTGAGATCAGATCCGGATCATCTTTTAGTGCATGACATGCAGTTATACTGTGCATCTTCCCTGATCATTTCAGGGTTTTATCTTCATTATAGGCCAAATTATGGCAGAAAATATGTGTTAAATGGGGTTTTCAATATTAATTTAAATGGCCATCAGATCCGGAATCTGGATCAGAGCTGGATGAAATTTGGTCTGGTGACAGACAGTGCTATCTTACATATGTGTGTCAAATTAGTTTAATGGTTCTGATAAGTCTTGACGGAGATATGAATTTTAATAATTTTGCCCATTGTTAAAGATGAGTTTTTTTGTGATTTTTCTTTTGTTATTTTTTTTGTGACCTTGACCTTTTTAAGCCTAATCACTTCTAGGCTCGGTCCCCACCAGTGTCTCTACCAAGTATGCTGCTGATCCAACTGGCCGTTTGTCCGTAACCCTGCTAACCAACACACACAGAACTGAAAACATCTCCTACTTGGCAGAGGTAACATCAGCTGATCCCCCTCTCCCTGCAGCCCCCTCCCTGATGTCTCACCGGTTTGTGACGGTACGTCGCGGCAGCCCGGCGGCTCGCAGCGGGCAGATCCAGCCCGGAGACCAGCTGGAGGCAGTGGAGGGCCGGCCGGTTGAAGGTCTGCAGCACCGAGACCTGGCCCAGATCCTGCGGCGAGCCGGAAACATGCTGAGACTGAGCATCATGCCAAAACACCGTATGACACACACACACACACACACACAGACACACACACACACAGACCTGTATGACACCTTTCAGTCGCGGAGCATCATGGCTTTTTGAGATCAGCTCCATCGGTGAGAAACAGATCTGAAATGACGGGTTCATCTGTTATGAAGTCATTTTAAAATAAAGATGCCCTAGCTGCTGGCTTCCTTTGACTCGTCAGATGTAATAAAATAAATATCTCTGGACATTACGCAAACAGAACAAGACTTTTAGGAAACATTTCACTATTTATGACCATTAATTGATTAATTTGGAGAGAAAAAGCAACACATTGCTCAGTGCTAACAATTACTGGTGGTAGGGAACTAAGCACATCCTTTAGCTTTAAAAACAGTCACGTGCACATGAAATTACAAACTTTCACTAGTATGAAATGTGATCAAGGAGCTGAAGCTGAAATCTGACTGCTGCTCCACAAACATGTCACACAAATGTCCTCATCTGTGTTTAGAGATTTCCTTTTCCTTGTTCCTCTCCTGTTTCCTCTCATCCTGACTCCTGCCCTCATCTCCTGTCTCCTCAGATTCCTCTCTGTCAGAAGGAGCAGACCTGGATATTGATGGCCGAGTGATGAAAGGATCCAGAGGGAGGTCAAAGGTCACTGTCACTTTTTATTACTTATTCATTCATTTCATTTTTACAGTAGAAGACACAGCAGCGCATTAGTAAAGCTGAGCTGTATTTAGAAAGTGCATGGATACTGATGCACATGTATTAGCTGCAGTAGCAGTGAGAGTACTGTAGTCATGTGTGGATGCTACTACAGAGTGTAGTACCATTGTATACAGGGTTCCTCCTCAGGCTTCAAACATAAAGATATAAAACTGTAATTTTTTGTGAAGAATCAACAACAAGTGGGACACAATCATGAAGTGGAACGAAATTTATTGGATATTTCAAACTTTTTTAACAAATAAAAAACTGAATAATTGGGCGTGCAAAATTATTCAGCCCCTTTACTTTCAGTGCAGCAAACTCTCTCCAGAAGTTCAGTGAGGATCTCTGAATGATCCAATGTTGACCTAAATGACTAATGATGATAAATAGAATCCACCTGTGTGTAATCAAGTCTCCGTATAAATGCACCTGCACTGTGATAGTCTCAGAGGTCTGTTTAAAGCGCAGAGAGCATCATGAAGAACAAGGAACACACCAGGCAGGTCCGAGATACTGTTGTGGAGAAGTTTAAAGCCGGATTTGGATACAAAAAGATTTCCCAAGCTTTAAACATCCCAAGGAGCACTGTGCAAGTGATAATATTGAAATGGAAGGAGTATCAGACCACTGCAAATCTACCAAGACCTGGCCGTCCCTCTAAACTTTCAGCTCATACAAGGAGAAGACTGATCAGAGATGCAGCCAAGAGGCCCATGATCACTCTGGATGAACTGCAGAGATCTACAGCTGAGGTGGGAGACTCTGTCCATAGGACAACAATCAGTCGTATACTGCACAAATCTGGCCTTTATGGAAGAGTGGCAAGAAGAAAGCCATTTCTTAAAGATATCCATAAAAAGTGTCGTTTAAAGTTTGCCACAAGCCACCTGGGAGACGCACCAAACATGTGGAAGAAGGTGCTCTGGTCAGATGAAACCAAAATCGAACTTTTTGGCAACAATGCAAAACGTTATGTTTGGCGTAAAAGCAACACAGCTCATCACCCTGAACACACCATCCCCATTGTCAAACATGGTGGTGGCAGCATCATGTTTTGGGCCTGCTTTTCTTCAGCAGGGACAGGGAAGATGGTTAAAATTGATGGGAAGATGGATGGAGCCAAATACAGGACCATTCTGGAAGGAAACCTGATGGAGTCTGCAAAAGACCTGAGACTGGGATGGAGATTTGTCTTCCAACAAGACAATGATCCAAAACATAAAGCAAAATCTACAATGGAATGGTTCACAAATAAACATATCCAGGTGTTAGAATGGCCAAGTCAAAGTCCAGACCTGAATCCAATCGAGAATCTGTGGAAAGAACTGACAACTGCTGTTCACAAACGCTCTCCATCCAACCTCACTGAGCTCGAGCTGTTTTGCAAGGAGGCATGGGCAAAAATTTCAGTCTCTCGATGTGCAAAACTGATAGAGACATACCCCAAGCGATTTACAGCTGTAATCGCAGCAAAAGGTGGCGCTACAACGTATTAACTTAAGGGGGTTGAATAATTTTGCACGCCCAATTTTTCAGTTTTTTATTTGTTAAAAAAGTTTGAAATATCCAATAAATTTCGTTCCACTTCATGATTGTGTCCCACTTGTTGTTGATTCTTCACAAAAAATTACAGTTTTATATCTTTATGTTTGAAGCCTGAAATGTGGCAAAAGGTCGCAAAGTTCAAGGGGGCCGAATACTTTCGCAAGGCACTGTAAATTATGACTATTAGCAGTAGCAGGTTCAGTTACAGACAAGACTGAAGTTATTGCTTTTGGTAGCAAGAACGAAAGGACCGAAGTTATTGATCAGCTTGATTGTAGAACTATGAAGACAAAAACTCAAGTTACAAATCTTGGTGTCATAATTGACTCAGACCTGAACTTCACCAGTCACATCAAGGCCACAACTAAATCAGCTTTTCATCATCTCGAACAAATAGTACAACTCTGAGGTCTCATGTGTACCTGTACCTGTACCTGTAGTAGCTGTACTATCAGCAGTACCTGTACCTGTACCTGTACCTGTTCCTGTACCTGTACCTGTACCTGTACCTGTAGTAGCTGTACTATCAGCAGTACCTGTACCTGTACCTGCTCCTGTACTTGTACCTGTACTTGTAGTAGCTGTAGTATCAGCAGTACCTGTACTTGTACCTGTTCCTGTACCTGTACCTGTACCTGTGGTAGCTGTCGTATCAGCAGTACCTGTAGTAGCTGTAGTATCAGCAGTACCTGTACCTGTAGCTGTAGTATCAGCAGTACCTGTACCTGTAGTAGCTGTCGTATCAGCAGTACCTGTACCTGTACCTGTAGTAGCTGTACTATCAGCAGTACCTGTACCTGTAGTAGCTGTACTATCAGCAGTACCTGTACCTGTACCTGTTCCTGTACTTGTACCTGTACTTGTAGTAGCTGTAGTATCAGCTGTACCTGTACCTGTACCTGTACCTGTAGTAGCTGTAGTATCAGCAGTACCTGTACCTGTACCTGTACCTGTAGTAGCTGTATCAGCAGTAGTTTTATCACCCGTCTGTCTCCATCAGGATGAGTCCAGGTTCTACAGTGTGGATCTGGAACGAGGTCCAACTGGTTTCGGTTTCTCTTTGAGGGGGGGTAGTGAGTACAACATGGGACTGTATGTACTGGGACTGATGGAGGGGGGGCCAGCCCAACGCAGCAACAAGATACAGGTAAATATACACAAAATGCATCCCCTTGGCCCTTCCCCTAATCCTCGTTCTAACACCGACAGATAAACAATAATGAAATCACATTTCTGAAGCTACAACTTGTAAATTATTGACATTGGATGTTGCCAATTAATTTTCTGTTGATGACCTCATCAGCAACCTGGCGAAGTGTCCCAGCTTTAGACAAAAGGTTCTGGCATGAAAGCTTCTTTGTTAATTGTTAATGTTCTAGGTAAATGTGAACTATGTTTTTGTGGCCATTGCTCTGAATGTTCTACATCTTTGCTGCTCGATCTGCAGTTACTGTGTTCCTGCTGCTGTTTTAACTGTTTAACTAATACAAGGTAAAAATGTGAAGACGTGGCTCCAGAGTTTCTTAAAGCGAGCTGGAGCTAATAAGATCCTAATGTCTGTATGATGATATGTCTCTGTGTTCAGTCATGATACACCCCTCCCCCTCCTCAGCTGCTCTGAAGCAAAACTGACATGTGAAAAAGTGTTTTAATTGCATAAACCTTGGTTCCGCAGAGACCAGCAGGGACTTACGATCATGATCTGAATCGTATGAGACACTGAGCACCAAACCTGCCGCTCGCTGCTGTCTGTCACAACTAACCGGTGCAGAGTGACACTGGAAGACGCTCTTAGCGCCCCCTATAGGCTGCACTGGGCTCATTTCATCCTCAGGATGTTTCAGAGTTCAGTCCAGTTGTTGAACCAAAGATAAACTAAAATAATAATGAGCTGACAACACAAACAAAAAAAACACTCTGCATTTTCTAATTAAATCCAAACTTTCTTTTAATCACTGCTAAGTACATATGACCGAGGTTCTCTGTGCTTTTGATGTTAAATCTGCTCACCTGTGCCGCCAGGTGTCAGACCAGCTGGTGGAGATCAATGGAGACAGTACAACGGGAATGACTCATAGTCAGGCTGTGGAGCAGATCCAAAAAGGAGGACATCAGATCCATCTCATCCTCAAGAAAGGAAACGGATACGTGCCTGACTACGGTGAGGCTTTAACTCAACCTGACACAAACTGTACTGCACACCTGACAACACAACACCTGGCAGCGCCTGTCTACACAACAACCCCAACTTGACAACACAGCCCTGTCTGCCAGGTGCTTCTCTGTCTGTTCTCACTCTTGTTTCGTATGTTTAATGTTTCTGATTTAACTGATACTTTCTGGCATAGGGGTGACATCAGACTTTGAAAGATGCTCCTGGTCCAGGTTTTATGTCTTAATAATCAACAATCAGCTGTTCAGACTCACACATGTCCGTCTGGGCTAACATATTGGCTAGAACAAAACTGGACCTGGAACTCTCCTGTCAAATCATCAGAGTTAAAGACGAACAGTTGTGTCAGAAAAGGTCTGCTTCTGATAAAAAGTCCATCTGTGGACACAAAAAGTGAAGGAGAGACAGCTCCCATAATGCACTGCACTAACTAATCGGCCCATCACAGAGCTACACATTCTGAAGCCAAAGACGACATTTTGTAGAAATCCCTTGTGTTCGCTTTTTGATTTTGGATCAGTTTTCCTCTCCACCGCAGCAACAGCTGAGGCTTGTGGGTAACGCAGTGAGAGACAGAGAAACCTCAATGTAACTGCGTTTGAAATAAAAATTGGTGTAGGAAAACCACTTCTGGGCTCTTCTCTTTTCCTGATTGACTTTTTTCTGCTCTTCCTCTCACTCCTCCTGTATTTCCTACTGTTCTTCATCCTCCTCCTCTTCCTCAGTGGAGTTGTCCAGCCTGTCTCTCTGCATGACAAACTCCAAACAGGGCGAACCCTGTTTCTACGTGATTGGACGCACAGAAAACTCGCGGTTGGTAACGTTCTGTTCTCTGCTCACGCTCACTTTTTATTTCCTTTACTTTCACTTTCACTGCCTCTCATCGCTTCATCTTTGGGTTTTCATTAACATCTTTTAGCTGCCGTCATTAGTAGTTTTATATATTATGACCGTGGTAATATGATGTCACATGTTAACTCCAACACGTACTTACATTATTAACTGTTGTTTCATGTTATATTGATATTAGTGTGTTATTAACATGTTAAGGAAGCAACACATAATGAAATATCAAAGTAAAGACTTTATAATAGGCACATGCTATTATCAATTCATTCATATTGTTGCTGGTATATATGTTGTTAGAATAATACATAATCCCAGTTTTTACAGCGTGTAATGGAATTTAATTCACATAGTGTTAAAAGAGTGGTAGATGGTGTGAGAGCTGGCTGCTCTCTGTCTGAACAGCCTCGTCATCAGACTCAGATTAGAGTCTGATGAAAACAGATTAAATCTCTGAGAATAGTAGAGCATTGTTCTGTGCACAGAGGCTCCAGCCGCCGCTTTGCTGCCATTACAGGATGCAGCCCCTCAGC